CTTCAGCCTTTCTTTTTCCTTGTAGACAATATCAGCAGAAAAAAAAATTCCCTAATTCTATCCAACCTAGGAACTCAGCCAGGCAAATACATAATACACATACATATGCTTACACATACAAACAGACACATAGCTTAGATCAATCATGAATTCAGCAGCCCAGGATCCTTGGCAAAGTCACTTCTCTGTTCTTACCTATTCTGAACATGTTTTAGGGTTAAATTAGCAAGGAAACTAATGAGATCAGTCATTCTTGAAAATGATGATGCTGTTAGCCATTGTTTATGGAATTCTCCTGGCCTGCAAATTCATTTCTCATTTAACCCCATGCTCAGCCCAGGCAGGTAGATGCCATCTCTGACTCAGTCTCCTACTGTTCTATCTCCACTCTGCTCCCAGTTCTCACTTACCTGACTCTTCTCTTGACCTGGGCTGATGTGACCCTGTGGGCTTAGAGAAATTCAAGTGCAGGTGCCATCTTGACCCAACTTGTTTCACATTCATGTCCTGATCTGTCTTTTCCCTAACCACTGCAGTGTGAATTTACCGCTCCTTAACTGGCAATTTCCCAGATCATGTCACTTCACTAATTTATTTTCTAGTTTGTGTTCTTTCATCTACCCAACATTTATTGAGTGTTCCTCTATGCCAGGCACTGCTGGCTTTGGAGTTACAAATGCTGGTCTTCAAGGCATTTCTATTCTCCTGGGGGAAAGATGTACACACAAACAACTGAGATTGATCTGGGTGATACACGAGGGAAACTCAGGATGTTGTCAGGGCATAGAGGAGAACCACCTAACCCCGTTTGAGGATGGAAAGATCAGGGCAGCCTTCTGGAGGAAGTGACTCATAGTCTAGGTAGAAGAATAGGACTGTTTCAGACAGCTGGCTTTCTCTATTTTCTTCACTTCTCCACCCATTTTCTGGCCAGCAGTATAGGGGGAACAACAAAGGCCAGCAGTGACAAAACCACCCAACTCTGTCTTCAAACCATACCCTCCTCTCTCTTTTCTTTTACTATTCTCCAAATCCTAGGTATTGAGAAACCTTTTCTCTTTCTGTTAATCTGCTTGTTCATTCATTCATTCATTCATTAATTCACAGACACTTGTTAAGAACCTACTGTGTGTATAACTCTATGAGTACAAGTTGTCCTGGTGCCTTCCATTATAAGAGACCTTACTTTCTCCTCACCAGCAACAGCTTCTAGGGATCTTTGGCTCTCTGTCCTTTTGCAAAACTTGACTTCAGCCTGTCTCCCCCACCCTTCCCCATGGAACACTTACAGATAAACCTCATCTTGGACAAATGCTTCCATTAACTTTCTCTGGCTTTCTTATTCCTCCTTCTCTTTTCTCTGATGTGCCTCTTCATCTCGCTTATCAGCTCAGAAAGTCCCTTGAAGGCAGGAACTGTGTCCTGTACAATGCATTGTTGCACAGTGGTCAACTTCAGTGAAAAATTCTTTTAATAACAAGAATATTACCATTTATTTAGCACTTACCATGAGCCAGTTGTTCACTGTTCATGCTTTATGTAAGAATCTCTTTAGTCTTCCTGTTTTTGAGAGGTGGATACTGTTATCTTCTTTCAAAGGTAAGAAAACTTGGCCACAAATGAGCTCAAAGTTGCCTTTTAATGGTCATACAATTAATTCATAGCAGACAGCAGCATCAAATTTAGATTTTCCCAGTCCCAAATCCTGATCTCTCATCCATATTAGTGTTTTTCAAATGTGACCAGAATCGTCTGCAAAGTTGCCTGTCTCTTACACCTAGCAATTCTGATTATTTGTTCTAAGGTGTAGCTTGTGCTTTGGGGTTTTTGTAAAGCTTCCAGGGGGAGTCTAGCAGGCAGTCATGATGGAGAATGTATGGCACCATGTTGCCTTCCTGTGTCCACATGAGTTGCAGCTGTCAGTGGTGGTGTGGAGTCTAAGTCAACATGTGTGGTTATCCATGTGACCAGACTGCAAGTTCTTTGTAGCCAGGGATCTTTGGCCCTCCCTGTTGCTTCCCCACCCAGCCAGCCTGCACGTGCACTGCCAAGGGTTGTTGACTATTAAATCGGCCTCTTGGTTCTTGTGTCTCATCCAGGGGATAGGCGGTTGGAGTTTGATCACATCCAGCTGTTTTCATCCTCAGAGTCTGTTGACATAACAAGAGTCTTATAAACATGCAGAGTACATCTGCTGGTCTCAAGAGTGTTGTTGGATGACCTAGGCCCATTGAAAGTGCAGCCTAGGTTAGCCTCCCACACTTCTGCCACCCTTCATGGGAAGGAAGGGGTTGTTCTGAAGTTTCACAGTGGGATGCTGTGTACTGCTGTGGCTTTGCAGCAGGAAACTGTAGTCCACCTTCTTAGTGAGGGTTAGCTCATATGTTTATTCTGTTCTGTCAGGTGTTCACAGAGGTCTTTTTTGACCTCTCATTCTGTAGGTAAAGCAGTGTAAGTACACTGAGGTGAAGTGATCAGGCAAATAAATTGATACAGAACTCAAGCTTCTGGCTCCGAGAGTGGCACTTTTTCTATTGCAATGTGCCTTCCTTTTCGTACTAAGCTTCAAGCACAGCCACCTGCTTACATACCTACCTGTCTTCTTTCCTGTTTACTTCTACTGTAGGGGTTCTGGGATGCTCAGGATGCCATTTTCTGTCCTTGGGAAGAAAGCTGTAGTGCTTAGGGGTCCTGCTTACTCTTGGGTGAGAGGCCTGTGGTTGGTCCTGGCATCCCTGGGTCCTTTTAGACCTGCTCTGCTAAAAGGAAATCTGAGAGTTGTCCAGATACTTCTGGCATCTTCTCAGCCCTAATCCCATCTCCTAGTATTTATTATTCAGCTGTCATTCAGTGGGCAGTAATACTGTGCCAGGCGCTGATCTGAGCAGTGGAGACACTCAGATAAAACACATATTCTGTATCCTTATAGGCACAGTTTAGTGGAGCAAGTAAAGCAATGTTCCTTAAAATATGGCTCTCAGACCCCCTGCATTAGAGGTATGAGGACTGCTTATTAAAATAGAGATTTGTGGACTCCATGTTCTAGAGCCATTATTTTTGAATCTGTAGGGTTTGGACCCAAGAAGCTGCATTTCAGCATGCTTCCTAAATGAGTCTTAGATGCTCTGATGCTTGACAACCGCAGAAGTGAGCTTGATGGCTACAGTATAGCATCATGTGTGTTGGCAGCACCAGGCAGGTGGCAGCTTGCAGGAGCACAGATTCCAAGGAGGGGCACTAACAGGCCCAGGAACAGCTTCTGGTGTCTTAAGATATCCTTAGGAGCCAGCCATTACAGGTGCTGTAGAGAGTCATTTCTCTAGAGAGTGGGAATCTTGCTAATTTATTTTTTTCTACAACTCTGTACAATATTACTGAAGTTTAACAAGCCTGGATCACGCAGCTTGATGAGAATCTGGCTGGGTTGTAGGGATCTTCCTACTACTTTGTCTCATTCTTAGCTCCCAGGACAACTCCTGTCCTCAAATGACACACTGCAGCCCCTGTTCAAACCTCTTTTTCTCGTCAGGTAGATGATTTGGGTTTGTAAAGTTTGCCCCCTAGAGGTCAGTTAGTGCTTGGACCTGTGGGTCACAGTTGGGCAAATGCCTTGCCCATGATCTTGATGAGCTGGTTTTACTTATATTGCAGAAAAAACAAAAAGGTGGAAGGAGAAGAAAGAGGAGGACACTCAAATAAGGCAGAGAAAAACGATAGTATTTCAGAATCAGCAGGCTCCTGCTAAGCATCTGCTTAGAAGCCTCTTGGAGATGAAGAACTCTTTCTGAACTGAAGTTCAGAAAGATGGCATGAAATACTCAAGTGATATCAGACAGGCTCCAACTAAAATTCTGGAGTTCTAACCAGTGCTTTTTCTGTTTTGAGTCACTGGATTAGAGCCTTTTTTTTCTTTCCTTAGAAATAATTTATTGAAGCAATATAAGTCACAAACCAAAAAAGTCATAGAATGTTAAAATATGATAAATCTTTAAAAGTCAGATCAAATTTATATTAATATTTGTGCCAAATAGAAATTTCAATTTTTTAAAATGCAATCATAAATAGTAACAGCTATGAACACAATCCAAACTCCAGATTCATTTTCGTAAGTGCTTTTTTTGCTTCTTTTAAGAGATAAATATAACCCACCTTTATTGGAGTCTTTTGTAAATGTACCTGGAGGGCTTGTTGTTTAATGAGCACCTGTGTGAAACTCTTCGGCAATTGAATCATTTAGTAGGGTTGGATACATGCTCACTTATTTTTCTAAGTCATGGAGGATGTGGGCTTTAGAGCTTCATATCACATGTTTTATTTGGAATTAAATGAGACCATGTCTGTAAAAGCAGTTTGATATATACAAGGCGTTACACCAGTGGTTCTCAAAAAATGCCAGCCCCAGCTGGCAGCATCAGTATCACATGGAAAAATGCAGGGTTTCCAACCCATCACAGGTGCACTGAATCAGACACTCTGGGGCAAACAATCTGTACTTCACAGTCTACCAGGTGATTCTGATGCACAGTAATGTTTGACAACCACTTTCTGTTCATGTAGGAGATCATCCACTATGGCTTCTGGGAATAAGGCTTTCCGTCTGTCTGATTTTAGCTATGGTAGATGGCATTGCAGAGACAGGAACAGTGGGGTTAGTGCTACAATACTCAGGTGGATGGATGAAATCATTACAAAGGTTTGGCTTTTTGTTGGAAAGCAGGGAAAGGCTGTGTATGTATAATAGCACTGTCACTGTGACTGTGGAATCACACACTGAGTGTGACTCAACATGTTATCAGAAAGCAATCTTTTCATGTCTCTTCTGATAAGAAGAAGCTCCTCTAACTCATTTCTTTGTGTGCTTAAGACGGAAGCCTGTGGTCATCAATCAGTTGAAAATAAGCTAATCAATATTATGATATATTTCTCCACTTGCCCCATAGAGCTCTTTTCTTATTTTTAGAGTTATTTATTAAATGCAAACAAAACACCATTTTTGATAGGTTTGAAGCTTCAGGATTTCCTGGTGGACAATGAAACCTTCTCTGCATTCCTGCATCACAGTCTCTCTCTCCCAAGGCCTGCTGTGGACAGAATGCTGCAGGCTGATGTCAGTCTGCACAAGGTAAGCTGCCACCCTCAGCTTCCTCCATAGGGATGTTGGTAATTACATCATTTCAGGGTGTGGGAAGAAGTGAATAAACCCTTGACTTTGTAACAGTGGTGAAGGAAATAGTTAGCTTGAATTCATCTTCACCTAATGTAAAAGATAAAACCAGTTAGTAATATTAGCGCTTATATAGAATTTCAACCTTAGATTCTTAGAGAACTTCTTCTGGCATCATTAATTCTCATACAGCTTCTGGACAGATTGCATGCTTATCGATTTTTCAAAGATGCTTCTTGAGTTTATTCTCTGGCAGAAAGGGGAACTGCTCCCTTCCCCTGTCTCGTGTTCCCCTACTGGCTTGTCTTTACAGTAAGCAGAAGTAGTGGAAATGTTTATGTTTGAAAATAAGTTCTTTGCTTCACATGATCGAGAATTTTTAAAATTAGAAAAATCTGCTTGCCCTTAGGAAACTAGGAAAATACGCCTTGTGTTTACCAATTGTGTGGTTGGGAGGTGAGCCAGAGGCAGCAGGCTTTTGAAAATAGTTACATTTAGCACAATTTCCATTGCCCCCTGCCAATTTCTTATCTGTCACATCCCATCAATTGAAAATAAGGGACATCCTAAGCATGGAGGTGGTTTTTGCAAGGTAATTAGAGCTTCTGCGTTGTCAGTGTTCTTAAGCACAGGCTCTAAGCGGAGGCTGCTGACAGCCTGGCAGTAAGGGCTAAAGATAGGAGTAAAACTGAAGTGCACCTGAGTACCTGGCAGTAGGTGAAATTTAATGGAAGTCATGGTAGGCCAGAAGTTCTGCAGAGTTTAGAAAGCTGCATGGGTTTGAGAGACTTTGGGTCCATCACTCACATTAGGTTGTTCTGCAAGCAGGACAGGCTGCACTAATTTAAATTAGCAGGAGTTAGTAGGTGTAATAAAGAACCTGCTTCATTTCATTCATCCATTCAAGAAGTATTTACTGTCTGTAGTGTTCTAGCACTGTGGATACAAAATGAGCACGATAAACAAGGCCCCTTTTCTTACAAAGACTACTGTCCACTGGACAGTAAGGACCATACTTGAAGAATCAATTTATTTTAGGCCTAGAAAGGCTAATTAACTAGACAAAATACGGGCAATGAGCATCTTCCTAGTGGGTTTTCTATAATGAATAGGTGAGAATAACTAAGAACTGGCCTATCAATGAACTAGGAGGCCTGGAGTTATAGCACTCTCTTTTGGGGTAAGTAAAATAAAAGATTCCAGGTTCTGACATTACTTGGGCATAGTTCTGTGCATCATTTAAATATCTTTAACAGCATGATTCAGTCTAATCCAAGTGTAAGATTATCATAAACTCCAAAATAAGGAGGATGTTTTTCTTCCAATAAAAATGGTTCCAGGAGTTCAGACTCTGAATTTCTATTTGCTGAATCACATATCCCAGTATTGAGAAAAAAGATTGAACTGAGGTTTTCCCTCTGCAAGAGGGAAAAGAGTGTGAGAGATTCTGAATCAAACAGAATATGCAGGTTTGAAATGTGCTGACAGTTTGTGCCTTGATTCATTTTGAAGTTTAGAGAAGAGACCAGGGGTAGTGGGCTAGAACAGTGCCCTTTTAAAGATCTTAAAGCTGTATTCATGCAAGATTCCTCCAAGGGCTTCAAGGACCCAGCTTCCCATTTTTGTAATCCTGTTTTTCTTATCTCTCTTTGCATGAAATTCTTCAGGTATTTTTGCAAGGTTACCAGTTACATTTGGCCGATCTTTGCAATTCATCAAAATTAGCAGATGTGATTCAAATTGGTGACCCAGAAGTTTCTGAGCTTTGTGGTCTACCACGGGAGAAACTGGACGAAGCAGAGCGAGTGCTTCATTCCAATTTGGACGTCCTGAAGCCTATTGTGGTGAGTGGATTTGCTCTGTGAAGAAGCTGTACACTAATGCTTCTGGAATGTGAAATTTTTTTCTTGGATAACATGACTTTGTTTTTGTAGAAACATACGGCTTGCTGGGAGTTGGTGATACAGTTTAGTTCAGTGGTATCCCAAGTGTTCTTTTAAACTTTTGTGCCTTCTCCTAAGGGCTGAATGGGAGACAAATGTGCTGGGTGACCTGGAAGCAAGGGGGCTGGGGGGAAGAGGAGGGGACATGGGGCCGCGGGGAGAAATGGCCCATACAACGTATGCACATATGCATAAATGAATAAATAAAAAAATATGTGCTGGGTGTGGTGAGTCCAAGTCCATGGTCCCTTGTGCCTGTTTCACACAAATTCCTTTTTCATGTTTTTTATATTATAATTTCATGTTTTTTATATTGTAATTCTGTATAAGAGTTCACTTAAAGAAAGAGTTGCTCAGATTTTGAAAAAAATCTTGAAACTATTGATGAGAAGATGGTTATCTATTCATGTTTGCAAAATCATCATGGGAAGGCATAGTGGGCATTCATAGTAAAACTCTGGAATTGAATGAGACTGCATCTAATAATTAAATGAATGAGAAATTTGCATTCAAAGAAAAAAAACAGCAAAATTTGATCAGCCTAGGAATCCATCATTTAGAGTAGTGCTCCATGACAATGCATATTCATTCTTCGCCAAAAAATGCAGGCGAGTCTGAGAATATTGTTCACCAGTGTCGTCTATAGTAATTCTAGAATAATGGCAAAACACCCCTTCTATAGTATTCTTTAACATGCAGTATTCTGGTTTCCTGCTCAACAGAGAGTGCTCTGATTTGTCAGTAGTTTCTCTTAAAACCAGAGAAAGAGCCCTGAAAAGAGATGTTCTTCATTATAATAAAATGAAATTTTAATCCTTTGGACTTTGTCAGTGGCATGACTTCTTTATACAGGGTTAGGTCCTCCAGGTAGTCCTAAGAATGTGAAGTATTATTCTGGACCCTGTGCTTAGATCATATCCTAGAATGTAACCTTAGAAACACATCTCAGGGTATGTACCCTGAACTGATCATCAGGAAGTTCTTGTATGCTGCTTGACTCTATGATGCTGCAAGTTGCTGCCTGGGCAAAGTTAGTAGCAAAACTGTGAGTTTCTAGGAGTCCCTGTGGCCAGTCACTGGGACTAGTATAAGCCTAATGCTTAAAATTTGTTTTTGTTTCCGGAAGCAGTACATTCTATTTTAATTACTGAGTGCTTGGATCAGTGATCTGTGATTCTATTGGTTATTGTTTTTTAATTATAATTTCAAGTGAGATATATTTCTTTACGGAGATCTCTGCAGCTTTAACAGCCCCAAGTAGATAATCTCACTTACACAGATATTTGTAGCCTAGTAGTATTTTTGGCATTGTGAGAGATGGAAGGTCAAGGTTATTTCAAATGGTACAAAAGGTCATGGTCCAAAACCATTTCCTTGGACTATTTTGGGCTGCTGTACGTCATCTTCAGATCTTGGAAAGATGAGTGTTTTTAGAAGACATGGTAATTTATTCTGTTTCAGTTCTATTTATCATTAAACACCTGTTGTGTTTACAACCCAGTAAAATCTCTCCACTCACATATTGTCTGACTTACACTCAAAGTAGATTGACATTTTGCCCTCATCAAGTGACGATTAACAGGTCAGGTTTCAATTTGAAAATATCTCTCTAGGAGGATTACCAACATGGTAGGGTACATGGAAATACACCCTCAAAACTGTCAGCCACATGTTTCATCCCATCTCATTATGTTGTGGTTATACCTGTGGCTTGGTTGGCTCATGAGCAGGTATTGATTAAGATGGCTCCAGTGTGCTTCCTGGCCACCTCTTGGGGGCGTGGAGCATCTAGGTTCTGTTCTTGTCATTCTGTTGTCGCTGAGAAATCTCTTTCCATAAAATCAGAAAATGGGGCTATTGAATTAGATTATAGTGAATGGTCTGGATTGTTCTGTTATAAAGGGATTTTGAAGGGTGCCTTTGGGATGAAATGACTTCCAAAGCTTTTGGAATGTTATTTATTGAATTAAGCACAGCCTTAATTGGCATACTGGGATTGATTCTTGGTTTCCAATAAGCAGGCCTTTTCTTCTGCTACTTGGTTGAAATTTCAACATTTGTGATGGTAGATGGATGTGACATGTGGTACCACTGCACATGGATGGCTAATTGTGCCAAGAACTGCAACAGAAGCAGCAACCAGATGCCAGAACCAGCATCATGGGGGAAAACTGTTCTGTCAATACGCATTTCTGTACCAAAAGTGGATCATCAGGAGAGACATATTTTGAAACATTTTCCTTCATTTTATTATTATTATTTTTTTAGTGTGGGTGTTTCCCCATTTTTCAGCCAAGGGTATTCTGACTCTTTTTCCTGGGCTCCCTCCAATCTCTGTATGATTGGGATAACAGTGTTTGGACAATATGGGGGAATGTGGCAGAGTTGGGGGTCAGCTGGATCTGGGTTCAAATATTGCTTCAGTTTTTTACCATCATTGACCTTGGGAAAATTATTTAGCCTCTATAAGCCTCAGTTCCCTCTTCTTTTATATGCAGGTAATATAGTCTACCATTTATTGCAGTTACTGGTCATATGTTTGAAGAGCTTGGCATATACTAGGTGCTCAATAAATAGAATCTGATTATTTAATTGACATGAGTAATATAAATTATATGCTGAAAACAGTTGCCGGCAAGATAGAAGTTTCCTTCTGTAGATTAGTGTTAGGAATCAAAGTCATACCATGTAAGGTAGACATGGAGAATTCAATGAAAAATTGCATTATTTTTTGCCCAGGTATTATTAAGCCCTCTCACCCTACAGGCTCTGATTTATTTATGTACTTCAATTTATACCTCACATGAAGATTAATACTGCATGCTGGAATGCTATTGCATCCTTCAGTTCTCTAAGATTAATGGATAGTTCTATTATGCATGCATTCTGTTTTTTTTTTTTATTTAAAAACTTATTAATTCATCTGGCCATGGCGGTGCATGCCTGTAATTCTAGCACTTGGGACATGAAGACAGGAGAAATATGAGTTTGAGGCCAACCTAAACTACATATTAAGACCCTGTCTCTAAAAATAAAGCATTCGTTTATTGACTGGTTATTGTGTGTCAGGATTATTTTAGGACTGAACTCAACCAAGATCCTCAAAAAGGTGACTTTCTGATGAATATAAGGGTGGGTCAATATATGAAATACCATCTCCAGGATGAATGCACTGAAGTCTAAAGCGAGACTTGTGTTATGGGGTGTTGAGAGTATTTGTACTGTTGAGATAATACCCTGTAGGAGGAGTTAAGGGCCACCTGGCAACAACTTCTATGATCTCACTGCTCAGCAGGATGGATTTGACTATTAAAGGTGGGCTGAGTGACAAGTGAACTTTTCCTCATCTTCCCTGAGTTCCCTGAGTTCTTTGCTGAAGCAGCACACACCTTTCACAGAAAAAGGACAGAAACCTATGCAGAGATTTCTCTCTGCCTCTCCACAGTAACTTGTTCTCTGTTTTAGACTGCAGAATGGAGTCATCATAATGGATCAGTAAATTTTAGCCGAAATAATTTATTTGCTTCTGTTGTCACGGCCCTTGCTAGTTGTATTGGCTTTTCTGTTGCTGCTATAACAAATTACCCTGTACTTAGCATTTTAAAACCACACACATTTATATTCTCACAATTCTGAAGGCCAGAAATCTGGGTATAATGGCACCTCACCTGATAAGATGTTTGCAGGGTTGTGTTCCTTTTTGGAGGCTCTGAAAATGAATCTGCTTTTGAACTGTTTTAGAGTGTCAGCTGAATTCAGTTTCTTGCAGTTGTAGGGCTGAAGTCCCTATTTCCTGTGCGGATTTCAGCCAGGTGTGGGTCTTTGCTCCTAGAGGCACCTTCATTCCTTCTCATCCCTTGTCATATGGTTCAGTGTGTGGGTTGAGTTGATCTCCTCATTTAAATCTCTGACCTCTGTCTGCCATATCTCTTTCTCCTCCAAAGTTTTGTGTTTTTAAAGGCTCACGTGATTAGATTTCCCACCCAGATACTCCTGGATAATCTTCTTATTTTAAGGTCCATAACTTTAATTACATCTACAAATTTTGCCCCATAATGTAACATTGTCACAGATTCCAGAGATTAGGGTGTGAACATAGTTTGGAAGTCATTCCCCAGCCACAGCTGCCTTTTGAATGGACAGTGTATGTCATTTTGTCTTTGAACTGTTCTCTCAGTGCTCTAGACTTTTATTGATCTCTCTTCAACTCTCTGTTTTCTCTTGCTCATATTCTGAGAATGACTCTAATGCATAATAAGCACCGCCCACTAGTGTTTTTAATACACAAACCAAAGAGTGTTGGGAAGCAGAGCATCTCTGAACAAAGAATGAGACAATTCATCTCACAAAATCAATGAGCGTTTATCTGTTTTGCACCAGGTACTGTTTTGAGCACAAAAGATTCAACCATGAGCAAGGCAGATGAGATGCTCGTGGAACTTTCATTCTTACAGGCACTGAGAACCAACTTCAAGGCTGAGATTGGGCATTTGAGGAATTCTTCACAGGTTCTGGGGTTGGAGAGTGAGGGCTCTTACTCCTACTCCAGTTTCACTGATGACCTTCCAGCCCGCTCTGTGGAGGCAGTCTCTGTGAACATGGACACTACAAGATGCAGTGGGAAGAATGTGGGATCAGAATTAGCTAGGTGTGGGCACTAGTCTTAGCTCAGTGACGTGAATATGGTGTCTGATCCATGAGGTTGGGAGGACAGGCATTCACATTTCTCTCCATATCAACAACCCTTGGATATTATACACAACAGGACTATGTGGTTAGATTGTCTTGACCTCTGATGATATGTTCAACCTAAAATAGACAATTCTGTTTCTGTGGAACAAAGAACTCTGTTCAAATGTCTTCTCATTCATGCATCACATTCCCACCAGGGAAGAACTTGA